GAGTTTAAAAAGGATGGATAAAAAAAATATTTAATTACTATATTGTCCTTATTACTATTTCATACTAAAATTTTTGAAAAATAAAATTTTCTTTTATAGTCCCTACTAATGTAATCCACCAAGTGCATGAGGTCAGTTATCCATTAAGATTTGATTGGATTGGATTGGTCAGGGTGATTGCATCTTATGAACACCCCAAATCACATGGATCATCTCATTAGTGAAATGATGCAAAATGGTGAGCCTGGAAGCAGAAAGTTGATAACTCTAGAAAGAGTTATTTTACCTTTAGTTTTGTGTGAAAATCAGCTTATTCTTAGAATTTTAATTTTTTTTTGTGTGTTTTTTGTTAGTTTTAATTTATTTTCTTTTGATTGAATTTTATTTGAATTTTAATTAATTTCATGTGTTTTAATGCTTTTGATTTTATTTTTTTCTAAGTAGTATTTAAAATTTGGAGCAAAACGGTATAAAAATTGCTAAATTTGGACCACATTTGGCATTCCCAATACTATTAAATTCGGTTTTCATTAAATAATATAAATAATTATAATTTTATTTTATTTTATTACACCCAGTTTAATCCAGACTGTCTGATCAAGCACTGTTGACGGTCCAGATGTGCGCGTGCAATCGAAAGCCAATAAGAACACGCGTGAAGTCAGGTTGCGGGCCCCACCAAGTCAGCTGTGCAGCTCTCCCTCCGCTCCGCACGCACCACGTGTGCCAGCTGTCCCCCACCGCATCAGCACACTACCACTTCAGCCAACTGCCTATCGCCACGTGTCGCGCACTAGTCCCTCAGCCAGCTCCCGCATGAGCTACCGGTCCGCGCGCCAGCCGAGAATCCAATCTGAAGACGCCACGGGGCTTGTCCACTGCAGAATTCCAGCGCCGTCCCCTTGCACGCCACGTGTCGCCTTGGGTGAAAAAAATCCGGCCTTGTATTCAGCTGATTCTAAGGAAAAATAAAGGTCTCTTATTTACTTTGTGAATTTTAATTTTTAATTTGAATTGATATATGATATTTTTTTTTTAAATTTTTTAGTGTAATTAAAAAAATTAAATGTGATATTTTTTAAAAATTTTTTACTATAAAAATTTAAAATTAAAAATTTAAATTAATAAAATGAACGAGATCAAAGAATTAACTGTAGTACGAATTAGGTGAATAATTCCCCTCAGTGGCATGGACCTTCTGCGTTTACTTCAAAATTTTGCCACATCTCTGCGTTGGACTCGTCTGAAGCCTATGAACTATAAATAGGCCTATTCAATCATCGATCCCGCATCCAGTTTTGAGCTGAGAAGCTTCGAAGAAAAAAAAATATTTTGTTTCAATTTTCAATTTCTAGTTTTTAAGTTTTTAGTTTGTTTGTGGAGCAGAAGTTCCCGATCTTGTTAGGAGATTTTCGAAGCAGATTGTAGATTATATCCACTATCGGTGTTTGTACTAAAATTTTACTTTTATTTTTTAAGTGTTTTATCATTATGAAAATGCTATTGAATTATTTTATTGTGTTAGTTCAATTATAATTATGTTCTAAGTCTAATTTTGTCCGATAATAATGTAGTCATATTATAAAGGTTTAATTTATTAAAAATGTTATTATAATTGTCATATTTAGGTTGACGTATTTATTTTTGGGCTTAATGCTTTTAAAATTTTGAATTAACTTTTTAAATGATCTGAATATCAAAATAAAACGGAGAGGATATTTTTGTGACATAGCTCTAAAATAAATATCGTAAGATCTGAGATAGTATAGAGATATAACTATTTATTTTTATGTTGTCATTTTTAAATCTATTGAACTTAATAAATATTTTTATAATTTAATTCAAATAGAGATATAGTGGATTTTTGTGAAAATGTATATTTTATGTATAACTTGAGAAAGAGTACATGAAACAAGAGAAGATTCGACCATCAACTTACTATGATCTCAAAATCATAGTAATGTTTAAATAAATTTAATCTAATTAATATTGGTGAAATCATGCAATTATCGTCTAATCCTTTAAATATAAACTCTATTATTTCTGCATAGCTTAGTATTTGTTTTATTACTTCGATATTTTAAATTTTGTCATTTTAATCAAAATCAATTCGAAAAATTAATCTTTCATTTCTTAAAATAAAGTAAAAATTATCCAATTTTGGTACTTAGTAAATTTGCTATCTCTTGAGATGATACTCTTACTCACCATTATATTACTTGTTCGATTTTGTGCACTTACAAATTAACGCAACGAAAGCCCCTCTCTAATTTTCGCTCCAACCAAACAATAGATTGGGGCTCTCCCTCCTCCCCTCTCTCTCCTTTCATAATCCGTCTTACCAAACAAAATATGAATATCCATGTAAATTTGTGTTTAGTTTTATATTTAAAAGTTTTGGGACCAAATATAAAGTCAGAAAAAAATTTCAGGGCGGACTTGAATTAAACTAAAACCTTAAATTTAATTCATTGTGTAATATAAGAAGTAAAAATTAAGAATGTAAATGAAATTTTCTAAAATGTTCTACATAAAATATAGAATTGGGAAATTTTTAAAGGGGCAAAATAATATATATATATATATATATATTTTATCAAACTTAAGGGTATAAATAAAATCTTCTAAAAGTTTAGCATGAAAGTTAGAAATGAAAAATTTAAGGAGGGGCTAACCAAGAAAAAATAGGACAAAAATTTCAAAAGAATATTAAAGCAGCTATCCCTGTGTGGGACTCGGGTGTATTTTATCTATTTCGCATCTAATTACCAACAAAAAAAAAATGTCTATTTCGCATGTCATTATAAATACCACTTATACGTTTCTGTAGTCATTTCAAATATCAGAAGGATCAACTAGGAGTATAATTATATATGAACTGGAGTGTCAACTACCATCTGGCGTCACAGTTGTGTCAAAAGCACCAACAATTATTATTATTATTATTATTATTATTATTATTATTATTAATATCTTCTTTCACGTGCTTTAACGCTTATGAAAGGAGGAAAAAGTGCTTTCCTGACTCTAAAGAAAGAAAGCTTGAATGTTGATTTTACAGATTTAATGATGGAAATTTAATGGCCGTATAAAGTTTTTATTTTGGCTATACGATGCTTTCAAAAAAGTAAATTTACCATTAGCAAAAAAGAAAAAAAGTAAATTTAGAAGATTATATGTTCTATGATTAAACCAATGACAAAGACAAAAGTATATTTATAAGATGTTTATAATTAAAATGTGTACAATTTTTGTTTGGAGGTCGAAAAGAATGCAGAAAATAAGAGAGTGTTTTGTCATCACTTCTCAAAATTTACTAATGAGTTTTAATGAGAAATTATCTTAAGATACAACAAATTTTTAAACACAATATCTAGCAATATTAATATTGAGTTTTAAAACATAAATTAAATCTATAAATTTTTTGGAGAATTAATAAAGACAAATGTATCATTTCATAAATAAATACAACATTTTCAATCATTACAGCTATTCACATAGAAATATCTTTCTCAATATAAAAGTATATTTTCATAAATTAATACATCTATTATCATAATTATATTTATTGCTAATAGGTGTTTAAATATGTATGAATACATATCACTAATAATTATAACAATTTGAATCACAAAATCACATCTTTTTCATATTTTGTAATTGAGAGACATATTACAATTTTTCTAACATAAAATGAAAAAAGTAACGTTCTTTAAGAGAATTTCGAACAGAGGATGTGAACGTAATTAAAATAAAAAGAATGAGTGACAGTTAATGTTAAAACATTTTACAACACTCTCGTCTCTCTCTATAAGGCAATCTGCACTTCTGTGACTTCAACCACGCGTAGAAGTATAACATTAAGCACCTAATTATGACTTCAGACTAATGATTCATAGTTACGCTGTTTATTAAGAGACATTTGGTTCATGAATTAAAATTATGTGATTAAAATTATTTTTTATTTATGTGTATTTTTTATGAGAGAAAACACAATTATGTGATTAGAATCATTTTTAATTTACGTGTATTTTTTATGAGAGAAAACACTATAACGAATCATGAATCATGATTCAAATCATGATTTAAATCCTCAAACCAAACATTTTCTTAGTGAGCTACTTGAAACCAAGTGGGATCTGAATCGTTTTAGATGATTGTGATGGAGATAGCCGTAGCCCTAGTTAAAAAAAAATTGTATGTTTTATTTCACGTCCAACCAATAAAAAATGCCACATCATATTAATGAAAATTTTGTTTTGACAATATTAAGCGACAAGATTAAGGGCTTAGATTAAGGGTCTGTTTAGTTCATTGATTCGAATTGAGATGTGAATTTGTGTGAAAACTTTTTATTATAGCAAAAAAATTAAATGTGATTGTTTCTGAGAGCTTTTTACTGTAGCAAAACTCAAATTATAAATTCGAATCGGTAAAATGAACATGGCCTAAAAGAATTTATTTCATGGTCGGGGAATGAGTCATAGCCCTTCTCAAACCCTCTAAATCAACTCACCTCGAACCCGCTGGAGGTCTCCAATTGCCAGGTCATCAACTTCAAGTTAATGTCTTAAGAATAAAAGTTTTTAACGATCAACACAACGGTTTCTGAAATTCTTTTCTTTTTTTCTATCCATTAAGTTTTCAAAATATAAAGTTACATTAGATAAAAGATAAAAGAAAAAAAATAAAAAAGGTGAAAACAGAGATTACAAAAAGAGCCTCCCCCTCTTCCCCTTCCTTCCATGGCTCAATCTTGCAACCTTCCATTCCTTCTCTTTTAAGTAGTCTTTCCTTTGATTACCCAAAAAACTGATAATTAACTTTTAGACTTTTGGTTCTTCACTTGTTAGGTGGCTGTGGAAGAGGAACCCTAATTAATGGTTGCAGCATGCAGGGGCTAATGCCTTGTCGTTTGCTGACTGATGACTCTTGTCGTTTGCTGACTGATGACTACTCTTCTTTTGCATTTCAATGTCGTCGTTTGCTTCAACTTCTTCTGTCAAGGTCGCCATTCGGCAAACACTGTCGTGGTGATGATCGGCACAAGTACCCTTTACGACATCTTGAATTACCTCTTCTTCCTTCTCCTTGTACTCCTTGTATTTGCCCCACAGAACCGAGTATAGCCCCATAACAATAAGTACAGCACCAAGAACCCTAAAAAAAAAAAAAAAAACAAATTTAATGTTGTACGTAATGACAATGAAAGTGGAATTTTGTTTCTTAGGACAAACGACAACTTTTTTTTTTTTTTTTTTTTTTTTCCTTTAAGTACTAAAAATATGTGGTAAAAAAGTTATAAGGTACATGAAATTTACCCTCCGAGGTAAATCTTCTCGGCAAGGATGAAAGAGCCCATGACAGCAACAATGATCATCATCAGAGGGCTGAAAGCAGTGACGAAAACAGGCCCTCTCTTCTCCATCACCCGCCCTTGAACATAGTACGCTAGACTTGATGACACTATGCCCTGCACACAAAATACATATCACATAAGATTATTAATTTAACCAACTAGATAGTAGAGAGAGAGAGAGAGAGAGAGAGAGAGAGAGAGAGAGAGAGAGAGAGAGAGAGAGAGAGAGAGAGAGAGAGACTTACAGCATAAGCAGCAGCAAGAAGATTCATGTCCCAACCAATTGTCCAAACAGATGGCCTGTGTTCCACAACAAAGGTGACAGCAGTGGACTGTAAAGTCCCTATGAAGCACACAAGCATTGTTAGTGAGAGTTGTGCTTGATATCTCCTCATTGTCACTGCCTGTATAATAATCAACCCAAAAAACAGAGTTATGATTAATTCTTTCTTTTTCTTTCTTTTGTTTTTAAATATTGGTAGAGAAAAAAAAATAAAAAAAAATCCGCACCTGAAGAATAAAGAAGGAAGCCCAGGCTAGGGTAGCGATGATGAGGAGAATAGAGCCCTTAAGCCAGTCCTTGTCGGCGGCGGCGGCGGCAGCGGCTTCAGGAGCAGAGGACTTGAGGTGGTGGATGTGGTCAGTCCAGAAAAAGTTGATGACATTTCCTTTGTAGAGTGTCATCAACATTGCTCCAGCTACCGTTACTATTGTTCCCAACACTTTGGCCTGGCATCTGATTTTCTTCACGTCTACTTTCTCCATCCTATTTTTGTTTTTTCCCAACAAACAAACAACAAATTAATTCTCACCATTATCACAGAGAGCGAGAGAGATGATTTAGTGGAAGAGCTCAAGTTACCTGCAGAGGACGGCCATGACGAATGTCATTGCAGGGAGCATGTTGCTCATGGCGCAGGAGAACGTCGGCGAGGTGAACTTAAGACCGGCATAGTAGAAGTTCTGATCAATCACTGGCCTGCCAAAACAGAACAACAAAGTTAAGCATGGAACAGAGAAATATATATATATATATATATATGCTACTATAACAATTGTTTTGAACCGTTAGTTTTTTATATGCATGTTTAAGTTTACTTACCCAAGAAGACCAAGAACAAAAATCTGCATGAAAATTGGGAATGTGATCTTGGGTCTTATTTTCCTGCGTCACACAAGAAGAGGGTACGAATCAAAATTTGGGTCTAAGTTAGATCAACAAAGAAAAGTATATATATTTTTTTCTTTTTTTATATTATTGGTAGTACCTTTCAAGAACTATAGCAAACGGAGCAATAGCTGCAGTGGCAAAAGCATGCCTGTAGACTACAAGGACGTAATGGCTCATTCCTCGGTTAAGGGAGACTTTGGTTATTATGTTCATACCAGCATAGCCAAATTGAAGAGAGGCCATGGCTATGTAAGGCTTAGCCCTTTGAAAAAAGTTTCCGAAACAGCCAACTTTTCCCTCCATTTCTTTGATCAAAGTATTTCAATCAAAAATTTGAAAGTAGAAGAAAACAACAAAAAAGGGAAGCTTAAGGAAGAAGAGAGGTAGAGGAAAATTAATGGAGGACAACACTTGCAAGTTTGCTTGTCTTGTGTTTCCTAAGGGAAAGATGGTACATGGTCAGGTATTTATAGGGCCCCAATCAGGTTTTTTTTTTTTTTCTTTTTTTAACTGTTCACCATGTATCTATTTGAACATTCCGAATTACCTATGCTTATATCCAAACAAAGGGTGATGTGGGTTACACGTATCATAACAAAGGGGAGGGTTGTGGAATGTGGGGCCCGCTTGGGTTTCATCTTAGTGGTTATTTGATGCGAAAGATGACAAAAGAAAAGAAAGGATCGTATAAGAAGTTCGTGCTTGCTGATGCCACTGAGGGCCTAACTTGGTTTCCCTAATGGTGGGCCCCCACGGCGTTTGTATGGGACCGGTAACATTACGATTACACCATTGTCGACTCGGCATTAATCCGACGAATATCATCATGATAGTGTGATTGCAAAATAAAGGCCAAACAAATAGAAAAAAAAAAAAAAAATTTGCCAAACTCAACAGGACCCTGCAGTGCTATACTACAAGAAATTGACTGATTCTGATCAAGACTATGTAACTATTGGTTGCAATAGGACTAAACTGATGTTTTTGTTGTTGTTTTATTTATTTATTTATTTATTTTATAAGCAGATTTTTTTGTCGTTATTTGTCGATGATCCGCACTAACTAAACAGCTACTCGGTTTGTTTCTTTTAATGAGTGGAATTACTATTTCCCTTTTAGATAAAATAACCTAATAGTTAAGAGCCGTGAGTTCTTTTTTTTTTTTAAACTAAGCAAATACAATTTATCTTTGGTATATGTATACCCGCAATATGATATAATTATTGAACTATCATCATATAAGACCAATGTATACTGCAATTAAAGGTTAGGATTGTCTGTTCTTTACTTTAGAGTCTTATGGTTTAAGGTCCATACCAGGTTGATAAATTGAATCGTTTTTTACTCGGTGTATGAAATTGTATTCATCGTTTGAGTATAATCGGGCAAGTCCTAAAATAATGTGATCACTAGTGATGAACAACAAAAATGCTCAATATTTAAGTGATTTAATCATATCAGTGACAGCTAAAACTAAACAATTAGCAGAGTTAGCTGCAAAGTACTGCATGCATGCATGCTTTTGAACTCTTTTTCGCAGCAAATGAATTGGAGTAAATGTAAGCAACGCTTGAATTGCTAAAAGGGTCTAGTACATATAATAGGCAAACAGATGGCAACGCAGAATTATTTGCCTAATGGCCCTCTCTATCGTGTATTCCATCAATATTATAATCGTCTCTAAATATTTCTGTTTTGTGCTACTAAATGTTTGAACTAGTTAGCACTTTCTCATTTAAAATTAATAATTAAATAAATGATAAAGTTGGAAGCTCGTATTATTTCTTAATATAAAGAAGAATAATCCATAACAAAAGCAAAATATTCCACTATTTCTTTAGCACACGTACTTATAAGGGCATAAATTAAGCTTGCCCTGCATATCAGCCGCCTTAAGTATTGAAGTTGATGTTTCAATTATAGGTACTAGTGTAAATATATGCTCAAGAATCTTCCCTATAGAATTGATGTATATATCATGTAGCGTGTGTTTTTAGCATCATAATCATGGTAAGCAACTTTATTATTATTATTATCATAATTTTATATTTCTCAATAAGACAGAAACCCTTTTCTTAACGTATATAAAATGATCATATAAATATTGCTTAGTCCCACACAAAATACGTGTTATTTAACACTGCAAGTCTATGAGTCGTAGGGTAATGTTCGAAGGTTGTTTTAATTATCCTCATCTTGTTTTTCTTTTTCTTATTTTTTATCACAAGCACACACACAAAAATATGCCGTATCAAATCAACTAGATAAATAATGAATGCTTACAGAGGAATCAGACCTATTCTCTTTCTCTTTTTTTCGCTTGTATATATCAATCACATATTCTTTGGTAAGACGAAACCTGCTTTTCTTTCCTTCTTTTTTTTTTTTTTCAATTGAATTCCTTCTTTTTATTTATTGGATGAATAAACACCCCAAAGGCAGTAGTTGTCACTCCATTGCCAGGTGAATTTGGCAACTTGTCGATCTGATGAAGATAGGAAGGAATTTCAGGCAGATTCCAGTTTGAGATTCTAATTAATTAAATAAAGTTGTATAAAAAACCATATATATATATAGTATATATGTATATGTCTATATTATACAGGTACAGATACAACAAACAGGACAGGTTCTTCATAAGAATATTATGAAGAAAAGAATACATAAATCGCATTAAGTTATTAGATTCTAAACCAATTAATTGACCCTTGTAGTGTGGAACTTAATTTTTTCCCCTGGCTACTTATACTTAAAAACTAAAATAGCGACTGCTGTAATATAAACTACTATATAACTTTTAAAATCTTTACGTACTAATTAGCTGGTAGCCATGATATGGATTTTAAACTTCATATGAACATACTCGATGAAAAAATGCTCTTTATTAGCTTCCTTTTTTTTTTTTTTTTTTTTTTTTTTTTTTTTTTCCCGTATCAAACATGCTTTTGGCAAACATATGCTTTGAGAATTTCGAATTTCGCGTACGTATCTTCGATATTCTTAGCCAACCTGTTATTGATAGCCTTTTCCCCCCCTCTCAGGCTATGTTAATTATTAATTAGTGGCTTTCGGATAAATAAAAGATGACGTAGTACTACATACTCTCAATGAAGTTCCTCTTATATTCTTGATGTTGTCCGGTGAAGAATGCAACAGAGAATAAATATTAGGAGCTAGGCACCCCAGTCATTCACTGAAAAAGTGATGCAAATGTGCTATACCTTGGGAATAGCAGTACAACTGAAAGTCAACAAAATCATATTAATTCATAAATATATTTTACCAATTCATTTGATAGCTTTTTGTTGGATTAGGCTTTTAGCTTAAAGCTTAAAATTGACAAAGTTTAAGGTTCATGATTTAAGTTCACAAAATTGTGTGGATTAAATTTAATCAAGTGACTAAATAGTGATCAAGTAAAATGAATGGCCACAAACTGGTCAATTCTTAGCTATATGTTTTTCGTGACAATGGTTCGTTCTTGAAGTTTATATATAAGGGGGCTTAGAGAATAGACTTAAACATCTCATTCTCACCATTTAAAGAGAATTCCCATAGTATGAGAGAAATTTAGTTTCTCCAAGTTTTTTCTTTTTTTATGAGGTGTTTCTCTTATTTACATAAAAGAGTGGTTCTTATTATTCTCTCCGTGTAATTTAGAGAGAATGTTGTAATCCCCATTTTTCATAGTTAAATCCTTGTACACGTCCTGTGATTTTTTACCTCGTCTCCTTTGGAGGTTTTTCACGTAAAATACTCTGTGTCCATATTATCTTTAATTTTACTCATTTCTTATTTTACCATCAGATTTGTCAACAAGTGATATCAGTGTCATCTAGGCTCAGAGCGTCCAAAAAAAGTTATCATTCACGATAGAGTTATTGTTCAAGTATACGGTTCTATTCACGCATATGGTATTCACAGTGCAGATAAGTATGGCGTAAGTAGGTTCTGTCTAAGAAGCTGGAATTTAACTGGTCTGCCTGAGACCCTCCACACCTTTCCTAAGAACTTGCTTAGTAGGGTGGTTCTGCCTAGGAGACTGTCCAGATCTATCTTTTGTTGATAGAACTAGTGTATTCATTTACAGTCTTTCCTGGGAATTACCTAGTCGATACAGTTACTGCTCGAGCATTGTTCACAAGTATAGTGAAATGGTGGGAGATAAGCAAATCACGAAATGGCTGAAAAATTTGAAATTAAGAAGTTCAACGGAAGCAATTTCACGGTAGAAAATGAAGATGCATGCAATTTTACGGGAGGATAATTTCACGGATGATGACAAGTGGAACGAGATGGATGGTAATGCTATTACCAATTTGCACCTGGGTCTACGGGAGGATAATTTCACAGAAAATGAAGATACATGCAATTAGTAGACAGGGTCTATCAAGCATCATAGAGAAGAAAACGATGCAATAAATTTGGGATACTCTAACGAAGTTGTACGAGGCCAAGTCACTCCACAACAAGATCTTCCTAAAGAGAATATTGTATACTCTTCGGATGGCAGAATCCACATCGGTGACCGACCATATCAACACTCTGAATGCTCTATTTTCTCAGCTCACATTGAACGTACAGAGATTCTACTTCAAATTCTACCAGATTCGTATGATCAACTCATCATCAACTTAACCAACAATATCCTCACGGTTCATCTAGTCCTCGATGCTGTTGCAGCAGTGGTTCTAGAAGAAGAAAGTTGGCACAAGAAAAAGGAAGACAGGTTAGCAAGCTCACAGCTGGCAAAAGCTTTGACGATGATGAGAGGGAGATCAAAGGAGCGTGACCTCAATGGAGTCAAAGTCATGGTAGATCAAAATCTAGAAGTAAGAAGAAAAACATGAGATGTCATAACTGTGACAAGAAAGGGCACTTCAAGAGAGAGTGTAAGGCTAAGAAGAGTGAGGAGAAGAATTCTCAAGGAAATGTGGCAAGTACCTCAAATTATGGTGACGTTTTAGACAGCGAGGCAACAACAGTTATTGAAGGTAGACAAAAGCTCATTGATGTGTGGATACTGAATTCGGGAGCATCATGGCACATGACCGCTAGGAGAGAATGGTTCCATCAATGTGAACCAATCTTAGAAGGATTAATATACATGGAAAATGATCATGCCTTGGAGAGCGATGGTATCGATACTATCGAACTGAAGATGCACGATGCTACTGTTCGTACTATACAGAAGGTACGACACATGAAGGGTTTGAAAAAGAATCTATTGTCTTTACGACAATTAGATGACGCTGGTTGCAAGACCCACATTGAGAATAATATCATGAAAATTGTTTAAGGTGCGCTTGTGGTGATGAAGGCGGAAAAATTTGCTGCAAATTTGTACATGCTTTTGGGAGAAACATACTAAGAAAGAGAGTCATATGTTGCATCGATGAGTTTAGAAGATGAATC